TGTGTGTGTGTGTGTGTGTGTGTGTGTGTGTGTGTGTGTGTGTGTGTGTCAGCCTCTGAGCTGAGCGCCTGCTAACATGTCTTCTAGGTGGTGGAGAAGCTGATCCGGGGCCTCGCCATGGAGGACAGCAGGAACATGTTTGCCTTGTTTGAGTACAACGGGCAGGTGGACAAGGCCATTGAAAGCCGGACCATTGTAGCCGATGTTCTGGCGAAGTTTGAAAAGTAAGTTCTTCCTCTTTAAAATGCGGGAAGAACATGTGACGCTCCCTGTTTGGCCTCAGTGTATGTTTGCTTTAGCTTTATTTTACCTGTGTTACTCTGTTTACCTTTTCTTCTCTGCCACCTGTGTGTCCTGACTTGCAGACAAAGCCATCGTCTCAGCGTTGATTTAGCTCTTCCTCAGCCCATCACCCCGTTCTTCCTCTCTCCCAGCCCCTGTATTCCATTCCCTTTACAACTGATGGGTTTCCCCTTATCCCCAGTAAGCTTTGAAATGAGGCTAGACACAAGCCAACGCCCCAGCTCTCGTGTCTACAGTGTGAAGGGTCCCTTCCACACCTCACTGTTTGGTCTCTCGGACTCATATTCTCTGTGTGGGCTTGGCATACGAAGGTAACCCCACCCCCGGATATTCATAACAACTCCAACTAAGAAAACGTAGCTGAGAGTGGTTTAAAGGACACCAACAGACAGCCTTTCTGTGGATTAGGCACAGATTAGATGGTGCCAGTTCACCTGGGTCCCTCAATGACCCTGCCTGACCACTTTGCCCAAAGGCTTTTTCTTTGTTGTCTCAAAGTGAGGCCAGGCTGGGGGCGTGCACCTTCCCTCCGGTTAACCGAGGAACCCTGACAAATACAGTCTTGCTATTTTGTTTGTATGGCTGTTCCTTGTGTCATCTCTCCTTCCACCATACCACCATCGCCACGGTAGGACTCTGCACCCTCAGCTGTGGGAAGTCAGCCCTCCGTGGCTCACCAGGCCCATTTCTAGTCTTGCCCTGAGTCTTTTGTGACTTCTACCTGTAGGCTAGCTGCCACATCAGAAGCTGGGGACTCGCCGTGGAAATTCTACTTCAAGCTTTATTGTTTCTTGGACACCGACAGTGTGCCAAAAGACAGCGTGGAGTTTGCGTTTATGTTTGAACAGGTAAAAGGAACTTTGAGAAACAGATTCCTTTGTTGGAGGCAGGAGGGAAGCCCATTACAACTCCATGTAAATGAACTGCTAAAGTCCTGAGGGTCAGACAGGGCAGTAGATTTGCCAGCAAGGAGAAGCTAGCAGCTCACTCTGTAGAATGCAACCTGACACGCTGTATTTAAACCTCACTACCAAGAGAGCATGGAAATAAGAGATGCTCCAGTGTTGGGTGGTGCCTGTACAGGGGAGGATCTCGGCTTTAAAGCAGCGAGCTGAGGGAGGAATCTTTGCTAGAGGGAAATCCAACTTGAAAGTGGTAGGATGTGCTCTGTCCGGGAGGAATCGAAGCTTAAAGGAATGCTCGGGGTACAGTCCGCTTGGTGTGAGGGAGCCGCCCTTAAGGGCCTACTGTGCTCAGCCGTTCCCTGACCACCTGACCTGTCACCTCCCTCCAGGCCCATGAAGCAGTCATCCACGGCCACCATCCAGCCCCTGAAGAGAACCTCCAAGTGCTGGCTGCCTTGAGACTCCAGTACCTGCAGGGCGACTACACTCTGCACACCTCGCTCCCGCCCCTCGAGGAGGTTTATTCCCTGCAGAGACTCAAAGCTCGCATCAGTCAGTCCACCAAAACATTCACCCCTTATGAACGCCTGGAGAAGAGGCGGACCAGCTTCCTGGAGGGAACGCTGAGGCGGAGCTTCCGGACCGGGGCCGTGGTCCGGCAGAAAGCGGAGGAGGAGCAGATGTTGGACATGTGGATTAAGGAAGAAGTGTGCTCTGCTCGAGCCAATATCATTGACAAGTGGAAGAAACTGCAGGGAGTGAGCCAGGAACAAGCCATGGCCAAGTATATGGCCCTGATCAAGGAGTGGCCTGGCTACGGATCAACACTCTTTGATGTGGAGGTGAGAGGCGATTGCCGTATTGCCGCACTGAGTGGACTGGTGCTGCATCCTGACCACACTGTCAGAACCTGAACCTCTCCAGGTTCCTATGGGAAAAGGGGCAAGAGGGACATGTGGCTCTGTGCCCTCTGAAAGTTACCATCGACAGCCTCGTGTCCCAAAAGTTTTTTGTTCTAACTTATTTTTTTGTTCTTTTTTTTTTTCCCCCTTAAATAGTTTTGGTGTGCATGTGTGTGAGAGAGAGAGACGTGTAGAAAAGGACAGAAGTTAGTTCTGTCCTTCTGTGTGAGTTCCAGGGACTGAGCGAGTGAACTAAGGTGCTGAGGCATGGAGGCAAGTACCTCACGCACTGAGCCCTATTGCTGGGCCCTCCTCAGAGTTTTTGGGTTTGTGTTTTGGTTTTTCCTTTGCTGCTCTGTGGCTTTGTGTCTGGCTGACTTCTGTTGCTGGTGAGGTGGATAAACACCTGGCACCCTGGTTTGAGACTTTCCCCATAGCTGAAGGTGGTCCTAAACTGCTTGCCTCCACCTCGGCAGGGCTGAGATTACAAGCACGACCGCCACACCAGGCATCAAACAGCTCTTGTTTTAAACAGCTTACTCTTCTGTTGTTGTGGTTTTTCTCCTGAGACAAGGTTCTCTGTGTAGTCCAGGCTAACCTCATCTACCTGCCTCTGCCTCCCCAGTGCTAGGACTAAAGGTGTGCACAACTTGGCTTATACTCGCTTTCTGTCTCTGTCTCATCCAAGTTATTGATTAAATTTTTTAAATACTAAAATATGCATTTGCAAAATGCTTGCTTTTAGACTTACATACACACTTAGAAACTTTGAACATATAGATTTAAGTACACCTTCTCCAAAACACTTGGGGAAATTTTCCAGATTGAAGTTTTAGATTTTAGAAATTTTTTTTTTAAGATATATTTATTTATTATGTATACAGTGTTCTGCCTGCATGTGTGCCTGTGTACCAGAAGAGGCCACCAGATCTCATTGTAGATGGTTGTGAGCCACTACCATGTGGTTGCTGGGAATTGAACTCAAGACCTTTGGGAGAGCAGCCAGTGCTCTTAACCTCTGAGCTATCTCTCCAGCCCAGATTTTAGAATTTTTATACAAACTTTTTTACTTGAGCATCCCTGATTTGATAATCCAGAATTTGAAATATTTTAAAAGTCACATCAACCCATCTCTCCACCACTATTTTTCCAAGGTTTAACTCTGGCAGGCCTGGAACTAACTCTGGAAACAAGGCTAGCCTCGAACTCAGGGATTCGCCTGCCTTTGCCTCCTAAGTGCTGAGATTAAAAGCCAAAATTGAACTTTCTTTTTCTTTCTTTTTGTTTACTTTTCTTTTTCTTTCTTTCTTTCTTTCTTTCTTTCTTTCTTTCTTTCTTTCTTTCTTTCTTTCTTTCTTTCTTTCTTTCTTTCTTTCTTGGGAGTGTGGGGGGGTAGACAGGGTTTCTCTGTGTAGCCCTGGCTGTCCTGGAACTCACTCTGTAGACCAGGCTGGCCTCAAACTGAGAGATTCACCTGCCTCTTCTGGAATTAATGGCGCACACCACCACCACCAGGCAGCAAGACCCAAATTTTAAAAGAAAAACATATTTCCTTTTCCTTTTTTTTTTTTTTTTTTTTTTTTTTTTGTATTGTGGGTACGAGCCCAGGGTCTTGTGCACACGGCAAGCACCGCACCACTCGGTTACTTGCCTACCCTCCAGTCTAAACATTCTGCACATGGAGGCAACACATCGGGATGTTTCAGATTTCAGGACAGTTCAGATTGTAGAGGCCAGGTTAGAAGCGCTGAGCCTGCACTTACTTGCCTTGTTTGTTTGTTCTTGATCTGCTTGAAGGAACAGCATCTTATAACGTGGAATTTCAATTTCATTATTGCAGTTTAGCCACTGCCGTAACCCGGTACTAATTCCTTTAAGACCACCGACTAGAAGGAAGTTTTACCAGTGGTGTAGAACAGAGGGCTACTTGTCAAACAGGCCTGTGTGTCCAATCCGGCCACCTCCATTGTATGTTTTCTTTGCGTATGTGGAGGGATTAGTCAGTGCCAGAGACTACAAGACCCAAAAGGCTGAGACATTCCCTTCCGCTCTGAACAGATGACATTCCTAGCCCCTGTACAGATGATCTTCTAGATCGCTTATAACTGCAGCAGTTTACCATGATCTTTGAATGCCCTAAATCAAAGCTTTATAAAAATCTAAATATCTTATTCCAAGATACTGCCATTGCCTCTGGTAGGGTGCTGTTCTGGGTGTGGTATGTTTGTTCTGATGCGGCAGTTCTCAGCCTGTGGACCGAGCCCCTCTTGGGGGTCGAGTGACCCTTTCACAAGGACCATTGGAAATAGATTTACATTCCAATTCATAACAGTAAAAAAGATTACAGCTAGGAGGTAGCAACTAAAATAATTTTATGGTTGGGGGTCACCACAACATGAGGAACTGAATTAAAGGGTTACAGCAATAGGAAGATTGAGAACCACTGCTCTGATGCAGAAATGAGGTACCTTGTGCCTTATACATGCTCTCCAATGGGCGTAATTCACATCACCCCTTCCTGCTCTGGTTCTGATCATTCCTGTGATGCTGTTCCCTGCCCAGGCTCTCGTTCTCCTCCCATTGCTCTGTGAAAGCAAGTCTGAGGTTCTTAGGCCAGTGAAGTGTGTTTATACCAAGCATATATCGGGTCATAGCTGCTTACTGTGGAGAAAAGCCAACACACAGTGGGAGGGAGAATTTACCTCTGTGATCTTAGATAAACCAGCCCAGACAGGATGGGGCCAGACCTAAAAACAGAAGAGCAGGTCTGGCTTACACAGTGATGTTGTTAAGCTGCTTGCCCAGCCTCTGTGCTATTTGGTTTCTTCTGTGTGGCTGGTTCAGGCGGCCATAATAGAATAGCTAATTCACAATGGAGATAAGGCATCATGAAGAAGAAGAGCATCAGAGCAAGGCATTGGACTTTACCCATTTTTTTTTTCTAAGAAGCCTAAAATTGATTACCAAGCCAGAACTCAATCCAGATGTGCATTGAGGTACCATTTCTCCTGTTTAGGTGCTGGCTGGTGTGTTGACCTCAGTCAGTACCACCTGTCAGTACTGGACTCAGTGCCTGCCTTGTGGCTTCTAGGATGTGTTCTGGCCATCGTTCTTTTATTTTATTTTATTAATTACACTTTATTCACTTTGTATCCCCCCCCTCCCCGTGGTTCCCTCCCTTCTCCCGTCCCAATCCCTCCTTTCCTCCACCCTCTGCCTGCATGCCCCTCCCCAAGTCCACTGATAGGGGATGACTTCTTTTCCTTCCTTCTGATCCTAGTCAATTAGGTCTCATCAGGAGTGGCTTCCTTGTCTTCTTCTGTGGCTGGTAATGCTGCTTCCCCCTCAGGGGGAGGTAATCAAAGAGCAGGCCAATCAGTTCATGTCAGAGACAGTCCCTGTTCCTATTACAATGGAACCCACTTGGATACTGAACTGCCATGGGCTACATCTGTGCAGGGGTCTTAGGTTATCTCCATGCATAGTCCTTGGTTGGAATAGCAGTCTCAGGAAAGACCCCTGTGCTCAGATTTTTTGGTTCTGTTGCTCTTCTTATGGAGTTCCTGTCCTCTCCAGATCTTACTGTTTCCCACTTCTTTCATAAGATTCCCTGCACTCTGCCCAAAGGTTGCCCATAAGTCTCAGCATCTACATTGATAGTCTGCAGGGCAGAGCTTTTCAGAGGTCCTCTGTGTCAGGCTCCTGACTTGGTCCCTCTTTTCTCCTTCTTCTGATGTCCAGCCTCTTTGCCTTTCTGGATAGGGATTGAGCATTTTAGCAAGAGTCCTCCCTCTTGATTAGTTTCTTTAGGTGTACAGATTATAGTAGGTTTATCCTATATTGCATGTCTATATGAGCCAGTATATACCGTGTGTCTCCCTCTGCTTCTGGGATAGCTCACTCGGGGTGATCTTTTCCAGATTTCACCATTTACCTGCAAATTTCATGATTTCCTTGTTTTTTTATTGCTGAGTAATATTCCATTGTGTATATGTACCACAATTTGTGCATCCATTCCTCCACTGAGGGGCATCTGGGTGGCCATTGTCCTTATCCAATGTTCACTTACACAGACTCTTGCTCCCACAGTGCAAAGAAGGTGGCTTCCCCCAGGAGCTCTGGCTGGGTGTCAGTGCAGACGCTGTGTCTGTCTACAAGCGTGGAGAGGGCAGACCATTAGAAGTCTTCCAGTATGAGCACATCCTCTCTTTCGGGGCACCTCAGGCCAACACGTACAAGATTGTGGTTGATGAGCGGGAACTGCTCTTTGAGACGAGCGAGGTAAGAGGAAGAGGCGGGGCAGACAGGGAAAGAGGAGAGCAGTGCCCCCGTCTCCTGGCGGCCTTTGACCAAGTGTCTGCATTTGAATAACTCACTCCAGGTTTCTTGTCTGCAGCACAGTATAGAGGGTGGTCCCTTCTGAAGCCAAAGTCAGATGGCTCCAGATTTCTCCTGTCCCATCTGTACAGCACAGAAATTTGTTTCTTTTTTGAGTGAGTCAGGAAAGGAAGAGAAAAAGCACCTTGCAGAGAGTAGGTGATTATGGCAAAGACCCACAGCACTCAGACTCTGCTCTGGAGACTGGAGAGATGGCTCAGCAGTTAAGCGCACTTGTTGCTTTTGCAGAGGACCCTGGTTCAGTGTTCAATTCCCAGCTCCCACATGGTGGTTCACAACCATCTGACCTCTTCAGGCACTACTCAAGCACATTGTGCGCAAACACATGCAAGTAAAACACTCACACATAAAATGAGAGCAAGGGCTGTGCTGCATTGCCATCCACAGAGTAGGAGGGAGCTGAGGCCCTCCCACCTGGCCATAGTTGATTCACATTCAGAAAAGTCACTGAGTTTGTGTGCTAGCAACTCCAAACTTGAGCAAGTGTAATAATGAAGAAGCCAAATGAGGCCTCCACAAGGGTTCTGCTTCCAGGAAAGAGCGGTCAAGGGGGATGATGGTGGGTAGGTGGGCATTCAGGGCCAGGGAGATGAATGCTGAGGGTTAGTGGGATGGTGGGGAAAGTATGCAGAGAGAAGAAAGGGCTCAAGACTATGACGGCGGAGGGTCCCAGCGCTGAACTGTGGCGTTTAGTTGAATTTCATGGAAGGTAGTAACCTACCATGAAATCTGGAATTATATAAATGACTGTCCAACAGTGGCTTTACCAACATCAATGTTGGGGTGAGATTAAAGGGCAGGAGGAAAAAGAGAAGCCTATAAGATGCCTTTGTATGGTTCAGGCTAAGAGGACAGCCTGGCCAGGGAAAGGGGGCACAGTGATAGCAGCATCTTTGGAAGATGCTAGTGAAAGAGCCTCGCTCAGAAGAATGACTGGGTTACAGTGGAAATGGGCCAGGCATCTGGGGGGCTGGCCATAGCTGTCTCTCTCTCTCGACCCCTAAGGCTCCCTTCTGCTGCTTTCAGCAGTGTCCACAAAAGTGGACTGGAATTAGTTACTGTAACCTACAAAGGCTGATGCGCTATCCAAATTTCACCACCAATTTCAGTGAGGCTCACAGTCTGAACCTTAGTGGTACCAGCTCTGGTGTACTATTGACACACAGATATGCAAAGTTGGACAGCATGCATCAAATAAAATCACTGCTTTCTGTACAAGAGCCACCAGGGGGTGCATGTGTCAGTTGGAAGGAACAGTCCACTGTACTCCTGGCTTCCTGTGAGTCTGGAGCCTGCTCTTAGCATAGGAAGCTACTGGTTCTTGCATGGAGGACAGTCGGAGGACCCCTGCTTAGCCAGTTCTTGGACCTGGTTGACTCGTGACCATGTGTGGGCTCTGCTCTCCCTGCAGGTGGTGGATGTGGCCAAGCTCATGAAAGCCTACATCAGCATGATTGTGAAGAAGCGCTACAGCACCACCCGCTCTGTAAGCAGCCAGGGCAGCTCCAGGTGAACACAAACCAGCCGCGTGTCCTTCAGATCTCATGTGCCGCTCTCTGCCTAGGCCAGTGCCCGGTCCGAACCCAGCTTTGGAATCACAGCTGCCCGGGCTTTTGGAAACCAGTCGTCAGAGGGAGGAGTCTCCAGGGCTCCCTTCCCCCCATCAGCTTCAGTGATCACATATTAAGCAGTCAACCTTAACAGTCTGCACAATTTCTAAAGCTTTAGTACTTCTAGATGATATTGCCTTAAGAAAAAAGAAAGGGGAGAAAACCACGCTGCCACCAAAGCAGCCAGAAGTGCCTTAACTTGCAGAATCGACCCTAATCGACCTTAAGTGTGCTACTGAGGGGAAGCACTTTCCTCTTCGGGGGAATTTGCAGAGCTTGGAAGCAGGGCATCAATCCACTGATTATGCACTAACCTCCCAGCCTGATTTCCTGGATATGAGGGAAGGTGAGGGAGCGGGGAGGGGAGACAGAGCGGAAGGAGACAGAGTGTGGTAGTTGGAGTGCTGCTGGCAGCCTTCCTCATGGACATGTATTAACGTTTTGCTTTGTTTCATTGAAGTGTCTGTGCTTGCCCATGCATGCATAGGTCCACACACTCTACACTTTAATCATTGTTTTGTGAGCATTAAACACAAAGGGAAGAGGATGTGCAATGGTGTAAACAGTCTGTCTGTATATTTTAATAGTTCAGAGTTATAGCCTCCGAGGTGGTTTTTATTAACAGATCAAAAGCTTGGACGCTCCTGTCTTTGCTGTATTTTGGAAAGAGACATTTTGACTCAGTTTCGTTTTACATGTAGCAAGGGCTGTGACCTGTGACTGCTGTATTACTAACAGGTCTGTAGCCCACAAAGGTAACTGTATTTATGAACCACTGTTAAACTGCTGGCTCCAGTGCTGTTTTAAGAACACTATGAAGTCATTTTGGAGTCTTTTATTTCTAAAAGTTAAGTTAATTTTTTTGTTGTTTTCTTTGAAGGGTAGCTCGTATCATCAGTCTGTATAGATTTCAGATATAACCACATGAAATATGGGGAGAAGCTGCTGCATTCCCATACTCTGTAACCCTCAAGCAAACCTTTAAAACTACCCTAACAGGAATGCTGAGGCATCAGTGAAATTTACACGTTGTTTCATCCCTAGTTCATAATGATAGCCTGAACACAGCACCTGTAAATAACAGCAATTATGACCAGAAGAAAAAGAATCTGGACTTGGACTTTTATTTTTATATGGAAAAATTTTAAAGGTGGGCCAAATGAGTCTCCACACAAAGAAAAATTCAACTTGCCTTATCCCCTATGGACAACTATGTGAAAGCAGTGTTTGTTGGCTCAGAAAATCTGACAATAAAAGATATTAGCTAATATGCTGTGTTTGCTTTATTTGGATAGTTTTAAATAATCATGTGAGGGGTTTACTTTTACACTGAAGTAGTATTGATGCTTTTCTTTTTTAATCCAAGCAGTAGCCTAACAGTACTCACTTAATAAACTACAATTAATTAATTTGTTATGGGTGATGAAGAACTTTGGGGTTTTCCTGTTTCAAACTAGGAAGCTGATCAGGATTTCTTCAGTGCTAAGCCATGCCATGAATCTACAAGAGATCAGACTTCTAGGTATTATTAATTTTACTATTTTTTAAATTAGCGTTTTATTCCATGAGGGAATGAAAAGAGCAACTTAGCAAGAAGGAAGGGTGTGATTAGGAAAGTAAGAGAACTTTGAGCTGGAAAAAAATGCATTATCTATGAATTCACTGTCAAGATGGACTAGAACAGTGCAACAAACATCAAGAAACTCACAAGACAAACCTGGCCACTCTCCTTCCTTCGTGCCTTTCATTCAATTCTCTCTTTCTGAAGTGTTTACCACATAAGTGTCAGGCTTAGTGCCAAAGACATGACCATCTTCATCTGTTCATCGTCATAGCAGCCACGAGGCAAGTTCTATTTTAGAGAGATACTGAGATTAAGACTAGGAATTATGTAACTTGCTGTAACAGTTAGCTTCACTATATAACAAATCATCCCCAACCTCAGTGACTGTATTAATGGCTCTTTCAATTGTGACAAAACATCTGACCAAAAAAGGTTGATTCTGGTTCACAGTCTGAAGGAATTATGAGTCATGGTGGGGAAAGCGCAGTGCTTGATCCAGTCAGGAAACAGAGATGCTGTTCAGTCAGTCATTCCAGGCCAAGGAATGCTGTGCATACGTAGTATTGCTTTTCCCACCTCAGTTGAGCTAATCAAGAAAATCCCTCACGGACATGCCTAGATGCTGTCAAATTGACAGTCACAGTGGCTAAATTACACACCAGGTGATTTAGTTGGTTACTCTACAGTGGTTCTCAGCCTTCCAAATGCTGCGACCCTTCTTCATGGTGTGGTGATGCCCCACCAGAAAATCATTTTCATTGCTACTTCATACCTGGGATTTAGCAACTGTTACGAATCATAATGTAAGTACCTGTATTTTCCCATGGGCTTTGGTAACTCCTGTGAAAGGGTGGTTCAAGCTCCCTAAGCTCCAAAGGGGTTGTGACCCACAGGTTGAAAGCACTGTTGTAGGGGTTGTTAGTGTGCCCTGGGCAGTCTTGATGTTCATGCCTGGCTCACTTTGGTGGGACTGCCCTTTATTTTTCTCATGCTCAGATCCTCAGGAGAGATGGCCGAGCTCTTCTATGTAACGCTTCTTCCGTTTTACACACTTGGCAAGGTCTCAAGAAACGCAACCAGACAAGCAAGGCCTTCAAAAACCCAGACCCAAAACTTACAGATCGCTACTTCCTCCATTCTTTCAGCCAAATAAAAGTGATGCTGCAGGTAATCTCGAGGAAGAGAGGTATAATCTGTATCTTACAGGAAGTTGCTCTGAACTCAGCAGTAGGGTGAAGGATTGTGGCCAGTTGGTCTTCTGCAAAACACACTTCCAGTCACAGGATTTTGACAGACACGTGGCAGACCTGGGGTCCTCTGAAGTCTTGCTTTTCCTTACAAACTATTTTGAGTGGAAACATGTTCTCCATTCTTCCTTGCCTTCTTGTTGGCCACATCCATTCTAGGTAGCAAGGTCCTTCACTGTCCCACCACCAGCTTCCTGTCATGAAGCACACTTTTTTTGTGGAAGCCTCCGTTATGCCCACCATAGTGTCTCCTTTTCTAGTATCTTCTCTTAGCCTCTCCTTTCTTTGGATTCTTCCCTGTTCATTTCCTCTTTACCATGACAGCATGGTCCAGGGCTCATTGCTTTCTCTCAGGGCTACTTGTGCCAGACTACAATCCATCCCCCAGTAATCCATCCCCCTGTCCCCTTAACTTTCAGTAATGAATTATCCAGAATTTTCCTTCACAGAGGAAGTCTAGCTGCAGAATGTGTTTCCCAGGTTCATTTGCAGTTCTGTGCAGGTGGTGGTACTACATCAAGTTGCAAATTCTTGCTCCCTCCCACTCAAAAGGTGAAATCTTAATTCTCACAAGAATGTGCTAGCCACAGTGGTTAAACCTGATGAATAGAAGGATATGTAAAGGGTACTGCATGGCTTACAAACCAAGGTCATAAAAAGGGATGCCTCTAACTGCTTTTTCCTCAGGGTACCGTTCTCTGAGTTAGCATCTAAGAGTTTCACTAGTCTGGAGCTGTAGCCATAGTTTAAAATGTATGTTATTACATATTTATATATGTATGTTTTATTATATATAATAAATACATCACTATATGTGTATACATATATATATATATATATATATGGTTCCACATGGCAAAAGATGTGCAAACCACCCAGGATATCTATCTGAAGCTGCTTGTTACCCCATCTTCAGCCGTAAGAGACCTTGACTCTTATCTTTCATCTACCCTAGCTCCTGCTATGGGCAACCTGCCCTGCTGGGATCTATACAAACTGCAGTTTCATGAGCAAATTCAATAAGGATTAAGTTTGGAGTGGTTAGTTTCATAACATTAGCGAGGACCTGTTGCAGTGCTAGACATTGGGTGTTGTCACACCAGCTTTCTTGTGACCTTAGAACTAAGCAGTGGGGAAGGAGCTGACCTTAGGAAGCATGGCAGAGGAAACTGAGAGATACTAGTGGCCTGGTGGCCCTCTGGATGGGTGCTGAAAGATAAAAGAAAGACTACTGTGACTCAGTAGGAAGCCTATCGACGCTCAGACTGTGGTCATTCATACTCCAGAGGAGGCGTTGACTTCTTACTGCTGTTTATGGTAAAGGGACTGGAATAGGCTTGAACAGCTACTGCTGAAGAGAAAGGAGCCGTATGTGAAGCTCCTACTCACTCAGCTGATTCATCCATTAGCCTTAGAATGAAAGGAGAACGAGAGTTAGATAAATGGTTAATAAAGTCCAGGGGAGATGGTTATGTCTTTCATCCCTGAACTTGGGAGGTAGGGGCAGGTGGATCTCTGTGAGTCTGAGGCCAGTATGGTCTAAACAGTAATGTCCAGTTTTGTTGGGTGATTCCAGGTAGCCTCTTTACTATAAGAGCATTTAATATCTGAAAAGAATCAGAGAGAAAGTGTTGCATCCTCTGATGTGAAAACCTCTAACTGCTACAGACTGAGCAGACCTGTAAACTTACTCATACCAGTATATTCCCTGAGAAACAGAGGGACTATGCGATGGCAGCTAATCATCACAGTAAAATAGAGGTTACAGATAGGAAGAACCCAGCTGGCATTAATGCAGACAGGAAGCCAAAGGCTTGTAACTCCTACTCTGGGAATCTTCCAATGCTGCATATGAAACATAATGAGAGATCACATGACTTCTTCCAGGCAACAGACTCATCCTTTCATGACTAGAATAAGGTCCCATTCACTGTTGAGTGGAGAGCTTCAGTTTGCACTTTAAGCCATCAGCCTGCTGCTGCATGTGCCAACCCCTGGAGTCTTCCATCAGAGGGCTGTGTGGCTTGACAACTAATACCTGTGGCCAAGAGTACCTTTCCTTGCCCAGTCCCACACAAATGATCCTTTGTCGTCTTGGTATCACTGCAATGTCACTTACCAGAGAGGCCCTTCCTCACCACCAAATATAGAAGAGCTGGTTTTTCATTTTCTCTTTTTAAACATTTTCATTATATTTAAAAATTACGTGTATATGGCTCTCCTCTTCCCTGGTGGGGAGAGGAGGGCCTGGTGGCCAACAGCCCATGCTGGCAGAAGGAACAGAAGGCTAGAGGCAGGGCTTGGAAGGCCTTGAGCACAATGAAGAATGACCACTCTGTGAACCACTTCAGGGAGATAGTTCAACTTTTACTTCAGGAGAACAAAGACTATATACCCCTAAGGGAATGGGTGGAGGGCTCCCAGGATACACAATTGGTTGGAACTAGGAACTTCAAGGATGCTTGATTTGCATTAAACAGCACTCTCCTGTCATATGAACAGGAACAAAGTACCTAATTATCCTATAGGTGCAGGGAAGGAAAAGCTATCAGGGAAATGTGTCAATGGCTGTATATCAGATCTGGTAGGGGCATCTATGCTTAAAGACACTCTCCTGATGAGGTCAGGCAGAGAGTAGGAAACCCTGCTGAGGAGAGAGGGTCCTCTACCTAGTGCCAAGCTCAGAGTAGCTATCCAGACTGGGCCTGGGAGGACTGCAATCTCAAACAGCGGGATCCTTCCCATGTGTGTGTGTCTGTGTCTGCATGTGAGTATCAGAGTGCAGGTGTCTGCAGAGTCCAGTAGAGGCTGTTGGATCCCTTGAAGCTGGAGCTACAGGCTGTAGGTCACCTAGTGTGGGCCCTCTGCAAGAGCAATTGTTTCTCTTGTAAGACCGGGTTTGACCGGGTTTCTCCGTGTAGCCCTGGCTGGCCTGGAACTAGCTCTGTAGACCAGGCTGGCCTCAAACTCAGACACTTACCTCCCTCTGCCTCCTAAACTCAGGAATTAAAGACATGTACCACCAAGCCCACCTCACCTCAATTCTTGTCTTCTTAAAGAATTCGGCAGAAAAACAGGCTATTTTTTAAGCAGAATTTTATTTAACAAAGCGAAGAAGTATGCACTATGACAGAGATTTGAGTAGGCTATCCTGAAAGATCGAGGCAACACAATCTTTCTACACTGGATAGTTTTCATGAATATTTATAAGGTGTTTGAAATATGCATGAAAGAAGGTGGCACTTTACCCCTCCCAAATCATGAAAAACTAGATTTCCCTTTTAGTGTATTTCTTCCTATCCACTAAATGACTGGTTCTCTCTGTGTCAGCATTCTCCAGTTGATGGTTCTTTGTCTAGTGTTGAGGCCCCTGGAGCTTTCCAACTTCCACGTTAGCATGTTCCTTGGTGTCTCTGTTTCAATCTTGTTTAGGCAGTCATGATAATGAGAT